GCGGCGGCAACACAAACGAGGCATCGAAAGCCGACACACGGACATGGCGTGCAAGAAACGGCGACCCGAACGACGCCTGTCTAGTCACCGAGCTAAATGAAGACTCTATACGAAACATTTTACATTTACGCGATCATTCGCCGGGACACAGCCGATGACCTGCATGCGTCCGGCCGCAATTTATTTTCGGCATCGTCGATATAATAAGGCATCCTTTATTGCGGCGCCATTAGTCAAACAAGGACACGTGCCGACTATATTAAACTATACCGCGTATATAATGCGTTCTCTTTCTAAAGCATGATTGACGTTACAGTTGGTCATTGAACTCGCGTTAAAAGTCACTGCAGTACGGCAAAATAACCAGTAAGCTACCACTGAGGGTCTTCTATGCAAACATTGACAGGTTAGAGGAAACGAGAGACTGAAATAACGCGAATACAAAATAGGCGTGCCTAAAAAAAAAAAAAGAAAAGCGTAGCTTGCACTGGAGCCAGCCAGTCGAGATCGTGTTCTTACGATTTTTCCAAGTTTTGTCATTTTTGTCTGTCTTTCCCGCTCTAGTTCTTTCTTTTCTTTCACTGCCATTTTTGGTATATGCATTGTTTGTGTCTATTTCTATTACTTTCCTTCTCTATATTTCTGTTTCTTGGTCTTTCTTTCTATCTCTGATTATCTCCATTGAACTCCTTCCAACTCTTTATATCCTTCGTACATTGGTCTATGTGCTATGCTTTACACTTTAATTCCCCCCCCCCCCCCTCTTCACACTCACTTCCCTGCCTCATACCCTTGTTGCACTAAACTATACAAAGCTATGCTACACACCGCTAGCGTGCCTGAACAGCCGAGTAGAAAAGACGCTGTCCTTCGAATCGTCGGTGGGAACGTTCGAATCTCTGCCCACGAAGAAAATTTCCCCCTATAGTTCATCTCCTTATCTTTATTTTACACGAAAGCGTTTTATGCCGTGGTGAACCAAGATTTCGCTGACGTATTTGCGTGACGGAAATATGTCAGCAAAATAAAGACGACGAAGAAGATGAGAACAAAAAAGTTTCGCTGCTTTGGGTGACCTAGTAGTTGAACTTGCGCCCACTCGGCACGTGACGACATGTGCCGGCCGCTGTAACCATTGCGCCACAGACGCAGTTGCACGACGCTTTGGAAACGCACCTTGTATCTCTCGTACATCAACGCACTGTACACTCTCAGCTATACGTCTGCGCTGTTATACCACTTCCTGGGATGGAGGAATCATGCGTATTTCTTCCCTATCCTTCAGTACTCATTATACGGCCCCTTAGGGTTACTGTTATCAGGGAGTTTTAGAATAGCGCACCGCGGGCCCTTGCGGTGCGGTCGCTGCCACTGCGCATGCGTCGTAACGCGAGTCGGCGTTCGCGGACCGCACGCAAAAAAATCCGAAATTGCGTGCGGTAATGGCGGCCCGCACGTGGCCCGCGAGCGCTGGTTTCGAGGCTACGGTGTCGCTGCGATGGTGCGTTGCGGTTCACAGCCGGGCAAACGCTATTCTAAAACTCATATGGCGCCCGGTACGCCCACAACGCCCGCAGCGCTTACAAACGGTATTCTAAATCTCCCTATTGTGTCCCACGCCGCAGAAATCTGTGCACGTGTTCCGAGAAGGAAGAAAAAAATGAAGAGAACGAAGAGAGCGTGTGCCGATAAGTGATGATTACCAGTTTGATGCCACAGCTCACACACTAACTGCCATCATTAAACAGCTACAGAGTTAAAAAGAAAGCGTGTTTTGAAAGGCCACGTAATTGGGCTAGCTAATAACAGGCCGACTTGAGCTATCACAAAACAGCACACGAAAAGACTTCATACTAGGCGATGAAACCAGCAGCGCGAGCGTACATTGTCTCTGTTTTTTTTGGTCTCACTCATCGTCTTGTCATGCACTATTTTGCTGCGTCATGTTTCGATCAATCGCGAGAGATACAGCCGATTGCGCAAAAATGCCTAGGTAAATTCAGAGCGGAAAAACTGCCACACCACCGAACTTGCCAAGCAGCTCGCAAAAGTATTCAAAACAACGTCAGGTGGTTCCGGGAGACGTTATTCTCTAGATTTTTCAGTAACAATCGAAAAGTCTTGCCGGCGCGAAGCACCGCGCATCACCTCGAGCTACCTCTGTCGACAAGGCTTCTTATAGATCGGCAACGCCATTATTCGACGCTTCGTTAAGTCGCGACATAGGAAATAAGCACGAAGCAGAAAAAAAAAAAAGACGGAAGAAGATGCCAAGCTACGCCCTAAATATAACCCTGAGTGCAGCGAAAGCAATTTCGGCCGCTACGAAGAAAAAAAAAAACTAAATATTCGTGGAAGTAACGCTCGCGTCAGAGTCACTTCCGAAAGCCCCCTTCCGCTGCCGGGAACGCGGGAAGTGGCAGCGGCAAACGCCACCACGGAAGAGCTAGGCGGCGCAGAATGAAGTGCGTCTAACGATTTCCGATCGCAAGGGAAAAAAACATTGCCCCCCCCCCCCCCCTTTTCGCTTCATTCCAGCCCCACTCACCCCTTTCTCCGCATTTACTCTTGCTTTTGAAAGCACGTGGAATACGTCTAGGCCACGAACGACAACTAAGCAACTCTCCTACTCTCTCTTTCCTCCAGCTGCTATTTGTGAAAAGCTCAAAGGACAAAGGTGCGTTTTTTTTTTTCGGCTAACCTTTGTTGGCTGACGAGCGGAGGGTAGGAGTGGAAGCGGTAAGCAGTGGTGACCGTAAGATGGCGGAGGAGAACGCGGCGCCAAAGGCAGCTTCTGTCGAAAACGGGCAGTCAGCCACGAGCGTTGAAAACGGAATCAATCTGGAGGGGAAGATTGGGGGCAGCAGGAAAGCGGACTCTGCAGAACCGACACGTAAATTGAGCAATTGTGACCTTCTACTGCCCCCCCCTCCTCCTCTTTATTTTGCCTCCTTGCAAGCATCGCCTCCCTGCTGGTCGCCTACACGTCGGCGGGGCCCTATGATTACACGCATTGCATCTGCGTCGAAGATGATGCCACCGGAAGTGCAGTCAGCGCAGAGGCCGAGCACCAGCTGGGGGAAGATAAGCGACCCTCTCCAGAATGGTGGGTGCGATTGGAAAGAGAACGGGATTGGTACGGCCGTAGGTAGGAAAAAGAGAAAGGTAAGAGTGAGAATGTCCCACGATTCGATACGATCGAAGGAAGGGAGTTCAGCCCAGTTGCGCATAATGGGAAACGCACGCGCGACCAAAGTAGGGGGTCCGGGAAGTCGGTTTGCGGCACGTCGAGGAAGTTCGCCCGTCAACGTACGCCGACTAACGTGTGATGCTACGATTGAGTGGGCAAAAAGTTTCCCAAATGCGAGCCAGATAAACGCCACTACGAACTGTTCCGAGAGAGCTTCGTAATCCTGCGATTATTGAACGTGCAACAACCCGCTAACACGCTGGAGGATTGGTCGTTTGGAGGCTAAGAGCTGAGACGACAAATAGTCGAAGCGGTGACGTCACAGCCTAAAGATCAGACGAGCATTCGCCAAATCACCGCGATTGGTCACAAAGCTTCCGCGCCTAATGCTGCTAAACAAGACTCTAGCATCAATCGAGTTAGCCGCGATGTAGCGTTACGATTACCCCTTTAAACTTCCCGAAGTTCTGACTGTCGAGGCACATCGTAGCGGGGGCGCCTGTGTAATTATCGCCACAATTTTTTTTAAAGTTCGCGTCTGTATCTAAGTACGCCGGCATTTTTCGCATTTATCAGCAACGTAAATGATGCTGCAGTCGGATGAATAAATGGATGGATGGATGGATAAGGCTGTACCCTTTAGAACGGGCGGTGGCTAGCGCCACCAAGCCGTAATACTTAATGAACCAAAAACTAGATTTATTTTTTTTTCTTTAAAAAGTGAGTTTTAGGATTCGTGCTTTGCAGTGAAGTGTTTAATTCTCACTCGTGCCTTGACTTTAGCCACCAATCAGATAACCTCCTTCTAGTTAAGTCTACCCGCTTAAAGTCTATTTTGCCCTCCCGGTCCCTAAACCCCATTGCTTTGAAAAACTCTGCGCCATCATCCTGAACTATAGGGTGAAGCCCTTTACAAAACATTATCAAGTGTTCGGCAGTTTCTTCTTCCTCTCCACACGCACTGCATACTGTGTCTACCCCTTCGTATTTGGCCCGATATGTCTTGGTTCGCAGTACTCCCATCCTGGCCTCAAACAGTAGAGAACTACCCCGAGTATTATCATAGATCTTTTCCTTGGCAATTTCCTGCTTAAAAGTTCGATAGAACTTAAAAGTCACGAAGCATCGGCAGCGCACCCTTGCGGTTAGTAGCGCAACACCATAATCGCTAAACTACGACCGCCCCGCACGTAGACCCCATCAGAAACGAGGCGGCAAATGGCCGTCTGCCTACACACTGAAAAATATATCGAAAAACATAAACAGAGCACTGTCTGTTTCACAGCAAGTTCTGCTTCGCTACGCACGTGAATCTTTCTAAAAACGACATGTGCACGTCAACCTTGGAGACCACTAAACTGTCGTTGCAGAGTCATAGAAACCAAGACCGACTTTTCAGCATTTCAGTACTCACAGAGAAAGATGACTCGTTTTTTTTCTTTTTTGTTCGAGTTCAGGGCAACTCCAAAGAGCCCTAGGCAATCACCTCAGGAGGAGCAATGCCTAACGGTAATTAGAACTCCCTCAACGAAGCAATAGTCAAGACTAATCATAACTGCCGGAGTTTAACGTGCCAAGGCCATCATATGTTTATGAGAGACGCTGCAGCGGCAGGCTCAGAAAATTTCGACCACCTGGGGTTCTTCAACGTGCAGCTAAGTCTAAAGCACACGGGCTTCAAGCATTTTCGCCTCTAACGAAAATGCGGCCGCCACGGCCGGTGTCGAATCCCGCGAGCTGCGCGTGAGCAGCCGAGTGCCGGTAGACCACCGTGGCGGGCGATAGTCTAGATAGACCGCAATGCACTCACCTGGCGATGTATCCGCTGGTTGGACCGGCTCCATTGCGGTCGTCCATAACCCTGGCAGGCTGACTATTCACCACCTTCCCGTCCTCGTTGGCCTTCCACGTGCTGGCGTCTTCCTTGAACTCCTTGCCCCTGTATCGAGGAAAAAAGAAGCGCATCGCGAAGACAACGTCGTCTTGTTAGCGTCGTCTTGTTGTTCATCATCACCACTGAACACGCGTGTGTAAGAACGCCTCCTCTCAATTAACGCTTCGCCCCTATTTCACGAGTTCGTTTCAACGAAACCAAACCCTTTGTGTTCTCCTTACACGTGCATCGAATAGCTTTTCCCGAGTGCTTCCGAACATGCGTGTGTACGCACTGAACACAGCTTCACCGCAAGAAGAGGAGCTATGCGGCAAACCAACTTTTACAGGCTCACTACTTGGAATACAGTGTGCAAAATTTACGGTCGGGGCTAATAAATTTGGCTACATCGCGTACAAGGAAGGTACGAAGTTATCCAATAAACGTGAATGAGACGACAGGCACTAGGTTACACAATCAGCTTGGAGTCGACTTCACTCAGAAATACCAGCGCCATATATAACGGTAAGAATACTTTCCTGTACCTAGGAGCCGTATGCGGAGAAGACGTACATCGGCAGTACACATTACAAGCTCAAGCGACACAGAGAGCCCAAGTTACGTTGCGTAAAAGAAACCACTAAAGTATGTAGCGAACCTTGAAAATACAGCGGCTCATTTCTACCCGCAATCTATTTATTCATATATTAATAAGAAAAAGACAGATGAAGGAAGACGTTAGTTAGATGACCTAAAGATGTGTCTGATTCTGAAGTTGTCTGCGTACTAAAGACACTGTTACGTTACCAGTTTTCGGTGTGAATATTGTTCATATATATATCAGTACTTTTAAAACTTGGAAAACGAAAGTAAGTGATTACTAGTTCTTTCAAATGAACACTGCAGAAACACGCGAACCAAACTACTGAACTAATACAAATATTATTACCAAACATGCAAAACAGCGAGAAGCCCAATGCGTACATTAGAAAAAAAGGGTTCAAATATTCAACTCCACACACTCACTCAAGCCCGCTTCACCAAGGACACAACCGACACCAGCCAAAACACCAAAGCATCAGACGCCCATTGAAAGCAAAACGCAGCCAGCGAGGTGAGTTGCAAGCCCGTCACCCGCAACAAACAACAATACTTTCACTCCACACCTCGCTCCTTCACCGACATTCTGGTAAGCAGCGTGCGTGTAAGGTTATTTATATGTAGCTTAACAAGAAAAGCCTACACCAGTGTGCAGTACCCACGCAACCCCTAAATACTGTGCAAGACATTTACGTGAGTGTCATGGCCACTTCCTCAGCCCTAAACAACACTCTGAAAGAACAAAAGGCGACGCGAGGCACACAATTAGAGATTAAAACAACGTGCACTAAAGACGCGAGAGAGCCAATCAATTTAAAATCATACAATCGATTAGATATGGGAGAACAGAAATTTTGATTAGGCAGAATGGACTAGGGCCTGAAGTAAGATAAAGCAAAGCGAAGACAGGTTGAAACACCACAAAAGGTGAGGAGAAGAAAGAAATCGTGCATGTGATGGATCTACAAGCAATATGAAGCTGCGAAGTGTGCTAAAATAAATATTCCAACACAAATGATAAAACGTTCGCTTCTTACTTCTCAGATGATGGCTAAGGTAGCCAGGAGTTAGTCGAAAGAAATTCCGAGTTATAGCAGGCATCATATAGGTATACACACAGGATACTGAATAACAAATGCGCCACTACGTTTGCACTGCAACCCACAAAACACCACAGGCAACACAAACCAGAAACTACCACCAATGTTAGTAACCAAACGACTTAATCAACGAGGCAGGCATATATGACAGCAAAGAAAGCGATACCTCCACCCAAAGCGTTGACGCCAGGCTAACTGACAGAGGCAACAGCAACGTTATAGAAGTTGCAAACAGCAAACACATTTATGTGAACAAATTTTAAGGAATAACGAGCAACGCACCGTGTACCATCAGTACGAAAACTTCACACACAACGTTTAGTGACCAGGGGCACCACATCGACATACTTACCGTACCAATGCACGTTACCTGTCTCGTTAAAGAGAGACAAAAACCTTCCGCATCCGGAACCGGCTCTTTCGAAGTCTTTGAAAGCCATTCGGATCACTGTATTGAAAGGGGGTCAGTCTAGGAAGATTGCTTTATTCTACCCCGAAAGAAGAGAAGCCGCTACGCTAAAGTTTCCACTACCACGCGTTAGTAGTCTGCCATTCCGAGAGGTTTTAGTCAGAAGAAAGATCTACCAAAGAAGCACGAGAACCCTAGGGACACCAGGGAAAAAGATGAGCTTCTATGCTTTTGTGCGTCATTAGTACGAAGGTCACGTATGCAGGTTCGATAGAGAGAAGTGGGAAAAAAAATAGAGAGAATCACCCGATAATTTCTCGTCATTTATTAACACATGCAAGTGTCAGCACGCCTGCTTCCGCCAGCTTTCGTAACTCTGGGAAAAACCCGAACTAATGAAATTTTGGCACTACCGGTTCCTTTTTCGCTAGATTCAGAGCTTCCAACTTTTCGACTTAGGATGTGTCAACGTGAAGAGACAGTTACAACTTTACGCGAAAGACTCTCAGTAGACGTTATTTGAAAGTGGGGTAGAGCAGATCTCTTTCAAAATACCCATCTTACAATGTAGACCTTTTTTTAAGTAGCGTAGCATACAGAAGAAACACGAAGAAATGGGAAATACAGGCAAGGAAGTCAGAATGTTAGCTGACATGAAAAAATTACAAGTCCTCGAAGGATTCAAATAAAATCGATTTGAAGAAGTGATGACAAACTGGATATCTGCGTACGTCTTCGTCATTCACAGCCCATAATGATGGATGATGATACTAGTTAACTAGGCCCCAGCGTAATGGCCTACGAACGGAAGAAAATGTGTTGACAATACGGGACATTTGGATTATGGACATTTATTTCTGTGGCGGCTGATTTCTAAAGACGTGTTCAATAGAGTAGGATTAACAACCACATGCTTCTCTCACGACAAAGCTCAATGCCTGTCAACAATAGTGGAAAATCTATCGAGAAGGACAACACGTTTACGGGCTTCTACACAGACCATCCTATAAAGATATCCTATACTATCAGCCTAGCTAAGGGACAGCAGCACCACATTTTTATTTTTCTAGTGAGTACCACAGGAAGCTCTACAATGTTCACCAGCCTAGGAAGCTGTTTTGTTTTTGTTTCAAGTACGAGCATTCGTCGTCAGGCCACCGCTAAAGCAAGCCGGCGGCCACTGAATCTACCGCGCTAAGTAACAATGGGCGGAAAAAACAATTGTTTCGCGAGACGTCGACGGGAGTGCTCGAGCCACGGACTCCTAGGAAGCTGGAGTCGGAAACCGTTTGCGTCCTCTCTGGTTGACGACCATTACAGGCACCGCACCGCGAATGGAATGGCGTTCCAAAAGTAAACCACACTGAACGAGCACCAGTAGAGTTGGCGAGGGTAGAAATAGTGGGAAAGCGTTCATTTTCTCAAGACGCGAGTGGTGCGCAATGTTTCGTCGTCTCAAGTCATTAGGGAGAGGCCAATGGCCATTAGCGCGAGACACTTGCCGGGTTAAGAACGACGAGGTCAGGAAAAAAGAATAAGAATATAACAAATTGATCCACGCAACGGAGAAAGAGGGCTGCGAGAAAGTACCGCTCGCTTTCTACGACGACCAGACTCACCACAAGAGACGGGAACTCGAGACGGCGGAAACGACTCCCGAGACAGGACTCCCGCGCGAACCGAGAACTCCAAGTTTACTCGAAGAAAATTGTTGAAAATCGAGTTTGAGCACCGGATCACAGAGAGGACGCGATGTTCTCTCAAGACTCAGCGACATCGTCTCCAGTGCTGGTTAATCGCACGACCACTTCTTTTTTCTTTTTCACGAAAGTAATATCCCAAGTGTTGTTTTCAACTATCGCACCAAGAACATGCCCTTTGGTCAACTCGTCACCGGGACTACGAGCACCTGATCACAGCGACACGCTTCGAATATATGTGTATTCCCTTCCACTATCATGTGATGGGGAGTGCGTGGGGCAGACGAAACGACGTGTCAATGATTCGCAGAGAGAGCACGAGCTGTTACTTCAAGAGGTGGCCCGGCTTCGTCTGCCGGACCATTGCAGGTAATGCCTTGGTCCTCTCTTCTGTAACAAAACCACCACCATTTTTGAACGAGCGAACCGATCGACAAAGGGAATTGCTGAGGGCTTCAAAATATCAATTAAAAACAACACCTGTATCAGTGAAGCGCCAGTTTTCTTCAAAAGAGGGCGCTGTTGCGTGACAGCAGGTTCGCGGACTCTGTCCAAAATATGACGGTGTTGCAGCCGTGGATTCCTTCTCACCGTTTCCTCGCACCCCACGAGCCGGAGGCGCCACGACAGTTGTTAAACTGATCCTGAACAGACCACGGCTCTTCCTTCGAATGGTTACGGAAAGCGAGAGCTATTTGCCTGTGAACGCACATCTCGCTTGCGAGCCGAGCGTCGTTGTGTTCCGACCTTCGACCCCGGTGGCTGGCGTCAGGAAGGTCGCGGCCGGGTCACGTGATCGCATCGGATGCGGGAGAACATCATGCAAGCGACGGGAATCAAACTCCGGCAGCCAGCGAGACGAGCATTTCGAGAAAACCACTTGTGTTTTTAAACGGGCCTGGAGCCCTTTGTTTAGGGTCGCGTAGTACAATAAACACCCTTCATAACTTTCACCGAGTCCGGAGTCTTATACATCCCCGACAGCGCTTACTTATCTGTGTCGTTCTTGAATATCCGTAATCACGACAACGCTGCCAGGATGCTTCCTCGTGTTTTGCGCATGTCACGGTTTTTTTTTTACAGTTGCTACGCACACGTTTTACAACTAACAATAAAATATCAGTTGAGAGTCAGCGCAATGTTGTTTGTTTCCTCCTCATTTGCGTGCGTGCCTCCAGTGTTGCACTGTTATTAAGGCTCAAGATGGATCCCAACCAACTGGCCCAATATGCCGTCTTACTGCTTTCTATACTCTCCAAAATGGGGCCATTTCACTGTGACTTGTTGTACCGCTATCCACGAATGCAAGGAAAGTGTAAAATTAAGGACTCTTTTTCTTTTTTAGACGCATTATCAGCGGGGACTAACAGACAATGATGCCAAGGAAAGCATAGGATATGTTGTTACAAATATTTGCAATGTAAATGTAAAGAAAACAAGCAAGTGGACGAAAAGATAACTTGCCGCTGGGAAGGACCGAACTGGCGACCTTCGAATAACGCGTCCGATGCTCTAGCACTGATCTAGTGCGGCGGCCATCCATCCGTCCATTTTTACAAGGTTAAAATCTGTCAGTTCTCATTAGTAAGTGCAGATTAGACGCACTGAACGCGGCGGGCCTATCCGAGATACGGCGCGATGCGGAACGGAACTTCACTCGCCGGAGACTGAAACGGTGTACCTATCTGCAAACTAAGGGATCGAGATTTTGGTTTCTAAAACGGTTAGACGTCTTGATGGCCTGCCTATACGCCTTATACGAAGGCCACTTAATTACCGTTAGTAGCTTTTACTACGTTATTCCACAGAGAATCAAGCCGATAATCAGTTCACACGGGGAGGCTACATTATATGCCAATACAAATGATGTGCTAAAGCCTGCACGAACGGTCTCGAGTTAACGGAGAGAAAAATTCCGGTACAAGCAAGCTCACAAGTCCCCGTTGGAGTATAAAAAGAAGTAATTGGAATTATTTAGTTTGTAATTATGTTGAAAATAAGTAATTACATCAGCCATAATGTATACTACTTCATTATGAGGTATGCCGCACAGCTGAACCCTAAGATGAATTTTGATCAATATGTTTTCTTTTTTTTTAAGTGAGCGGCCCACGCATAAGTACACGGCAATTTTTTGTTTGTTCGTTTTTTAGTTCACCCTTATTGAAACGCTGACGCCGTGGCCTGGATTCGAACCCTCGTCCCCGCGAATTAAAACACCACACCACGACTGCTAAGCAACTGGGGCGTGCTCTTCGGAAAATCAACCAAACAATTTTGCGCCTCAAGAACGTCACAGAACACCCAGGAAAAAAAAAGAGGAAGTGCTTTCTCGACTGCACGCAACTTGGAACTCAAGCGCAGACACGAAAGTGCTGCGTCATTCACGTGTTCACGGCGTGACGAAGGACCAGCGAGATGGAACTGACAGGTCCCAGTCACGTGGATCCGGGTCTCACAATTCGACGTAAGTCTTCGTGTGTGATTGATCGGTCACTCTGGCGAAAAGCAGCTATGTATGCG